GGGGGGTACTCGATCAGTGTCTAGATTCTCTCCTGTCAAGACATGGCATGGGTGCCATCCCAGCCCGCGTCGGCCCGAAAAGTGCCCCCACGCTCGGATCAATATTTCCATATCTGCCCTGTTTTATGCCGGGCTGCAGCAAGGTCTCTTGCCGGGGCCGTTGAACCAAGATTTATGAAGTCTCACTTGTGCGTTGATATCTATATGTTAGTGAAGACACAAGGTATGCACAAGTATATAGCTCGACCAGCTGCCCAACTTCACCAGGGTGTGTGCCTTGGATAGGCGCCAGCGCTCCACCCACCCACGCCAACGGGCTCAGCTAGCAGCCATGACGGCGGCGGCTGCACCCGACAGGGAGCCAGGAAGACGACAGCCATATCCCGATGAGGGACCTGTAGGAGATGGTGCAGCACGCAAGCAAGATGCGGGCACGCACGCTCGTGTGCATGGGTCCTTTTTTGGAACACCCCTGCGAGGCTGGCACGGTGGGCACGGTGGGCACGGTGGGCACACCAGCTGAACGAAGGCGGTCCCCACGCCCTGCCCAGCCAACACCGCCACGGGATATGGCACAGGTAGCGTCATTTATCGATGCTTTGGTTGGGGGGGTGGTCGAGCACCCATCTCGTATTGGCAGGGTGCGGTTGGGGGTCTTTTGGTCCTCTTCGTTGCTCGTGTTGGGGCAGATAGATATGCTGGCAGGCCTACGGACAAGTAGGAAATATCGCCGTCCGGGTCGGCTCGCCAAGAGCTCCATTCATTACCACAACATGCAGCCAAGGCGTGTGGGTACTCAACGTCAGTGCTGGACCTTCCCAGGCAGGAGCGCTCAGGCTGCTGCCAGGGGCTCGTGGCCAGCAGACCACTCGTGGATTTTATCCCGCCGTGGTGGCACCTTCCCTGCATGCAACTCACACCTCAATCCCATCCCACAAGCACCCCCATCCACCAGACTCCATCCGCGCTCACTCCATCACCACCAACTACAGCAGATCCCACGCCCCGATGGCTGACGCTGACCTGCGCCGATTACGGCCATGGCCATCGCCGGTTGGGACACGACGGCAGGCGAGAGGAAGGCCCTGGTGCTCACGCGCTCGGCCCCCAACCCCGAGCAGCAGCCACCATGGCTCGCATCCATCCTCCCCAACTTCCCACCTTCCTTCCCCTCGCCCGCGCTCCCAACCCTGGGCCCGGCTGCCTTCGACCACCACCCTCTCCCCTGCCCACGGGATCACCATTGCAGACGCCACGCGCTCTATGCCACGCTACCTGCCGGCAATTACTCAGGGTGCCAGGCCTGGAAGGACCCCCTCGTCGCAGCACCGAAGTGCCGACCAGGACCGGCCGACTCGGCGCTGCTGCCTGCCCGCCCGCCCTCTGCGTCAAGGGCGGCTGGTCTAGGAACGCTCGTCGACTCTTGTCGCCAACACGGGCCTCTATTTGCTATCCGTGAGTTGTGTCCAAAGATAGATCCTGTCGGGCTCCTCCTCTGGGTTCCATCGGCCACCCCCCCAAGTAGCTGCTTGAAACCAATATTCCAGGCCCTCCCTCGTTACATCAACCGACTTTCCAGCACAGAAAGAAGCAGCCTCTTTCGGTGTTGCAACAGCCACCCTGCCATGATGGCTGAGTCGTCTGCCCAGCCTTGAGAGGATGGGTGCTCGATTCTGCGGCGCGTGCGGCATGGTGGCGTTCGGCCTAGACTAGCGAACAGCATCTCCAGCCGCCTCGAGGGTTTTCGGCCAAGGCAAAAGGACCGCCCGCCCGCCCGTGAGGTTCGGAGGTTGTCGTCAGGACCCAGGAGCCTGGTCCTTGCTAGCGCCTGCCCCGTCCCTGGGTGGCGATGCCTGCAAGCCATCCTTCAGCCGCGGGCCCATGGCATCATGCCCGCCCAGCCCGGTTCCTTCCCGGGGCCTCGTCATTGATAACCTCGTTGCGTCGGGCCTGGGATCGGTCTATCGGGTCTAGGTGGGCCGTAGGGCTAGGGTGTTGTAGCCGACGGGCCCAACGCGGCTAGCCGACCTCGCCGCAACCTCAGCTATCGGGCGGATCTTTGCCCAATACGGTCTCGAGAAGGTGTGCGGCTCAGGTGTGTGCACCTCGGAGCCTCCCAACAGCGCCCCGGCGAATCCGTGTGTCATGGCTCCTCGCCCCCGCGCCTCGACCCTCGTGGCGTCGATAGTCGCTCGAGCTCAGCTGTGCCGTCGAGACGCAAAGGCACCCAATAGAGCTTCGAATGTCCCCTCTCCTGCCTTGACTGCTGCTGTGATATTGCCCTCAAGGGGGGTCATGGTGACCAAGTTTCCAAGTCCGCCTTGCCATGAATCACATACGAGCTCTGACCGATGTGGGTAGCCCCTCGTCCGCTTGGCCGCTGCTGAGAATATTGGCTCTGGTTCCTGGTCTTCCGTCCTCGCGTGACTCGTCTCTCGGGATCAGCCTGTTGTGAAGGGAGAGCGGAACATGATAACCGGGCGTGGGGGTGGGGTTCGCACTGCGGAAAAGGGAGGAAGCGAGTGAGGGTGTGAGGGTGACGGTGATGATCTGAATCAGAGTTTCCGCACTCTGTATGGGAGAGGATATGCAAGTGTGTCCAAGCCGGCGGGATATAAAGGTCCTCGAGACCTCCCCGAGGAAGAGGATCGGGAGGATGCATGCAGCACCGGCCTTGCTTCAAGACAGCACCTCCAACCAAAGGCACATCTTTCTCCAGCTCGCATCCCCCAGATTCTGACAGTCGCTTTGGCACCGTCCCCCTACATAATTCAGATTGCTCTTGCATACTTCCCGCCTGTCCCGTCACTCGGACCCCTTGCCCAACCCTGCAGCGTGGTAGCGAACCAGAATCCCACTCAGACCCCTCATAGCACTCCTTCCCCCGTGCGCGCGAGCAAGGCACCTTTGTGCGTGCCGTCTGGACCTATATCGGGTCTCACTTCTACATATATTCCCCTCACTCTTCCCACCCTTAGTCGGCTACCCGGACACAGGCAGGATGCTCTGGCACCTCGTCTCGGTCCTGGTCCTCCTCCTCGCCCGGGGCGCGCTCGCCATCGATGTCAAGGTCGTGGCCGCGTTCCGCAACGGCAACACGCCCGTGGACCCGTCCAAGATCACGCTACTGCGCAAGGAGCTGACCCCGAGCCAGCTGGAGCGCCTGAACGGCACCGAGGCCGGTGGCGGTGGCGGCGGCGGCGGCGGGAAGAGCAGCAGCAGCCGCAGGTCCAACCCCATCGGCTACAGCGGCAACTGGTGCGGCGCCTCGCAGCACACGCCCACCACGAACCGCTTCAAGTCCGTGTCGGGGGTCTTCAACGTGCCCAACCTGAGCCTCCGCCCCTCGACGGGCACGCCGCAGTTTGTGGCCTCGTGGGTCGGCATGGACGGCGCTAACTGCGCTACCGCTCTGGTCCAGGCCGGCGCTACGACAGAGGTAGATACAGCCCAGAACCCTCTACACACGCCCGTGCCCATACCCATACTCAAACATTAGGCCTGTGTGCTGCTTTTCATGCCGTGTGCCGGTTTGACTAACAGGTTTGCAGATCAGCTCTTCTAGCGTGCAGACGTCGAACCTCTGGTTTGAGTGGATCCCTGATGCGGCCTACAACATCCAGAGCCTTCCGGGTGAGTATCTTGGGGGGGGGGGGGGGTACGGTACTACG